AATTGTAAAATTTTACTATAAAATTACTGAAAATCTTGAAAAAAAAAAATATTAAAAAAATGTAAATCTCGTAAAATAATTTTATTGTAATATTTAAAAAAACAAATAGCATAGCATATAATATCAAGAATAACAAATATTATTACATGTAATATCTAGTACAAATAACATAACATGTAACATCTTGAAAAACAAATATTATTACATGTTATATCTTGCACAAAAAACATTACTTGTAACATCTTGAAAAACAAATAACATCAGGGCTGCAGATAACATGCGTATTTAGGTTATTACCCAATTAAAATGTCTAAAAACCCAATAGAAATAATAACTAAGGGTAAGAAAAAGTAAATGAATTCTTATTTATACAAACTACATTTGAACTGGTGCGTAATGACGAAAATTATTACTTAACGCGTACATCAGGCAGATCATACTGTTTCAGACTGTTTTAACCTTTAAATTATATAAGGCAACTTGGAAATCTCCTAGGCCAATAAACCATAAAGCAAAGTAGTAAGTAGCTTTTTTATAACCGTACAAAACCTACAAATGTCTACAATGAAGGTCAAAAATTTTGGGTAAAATGCATGAACTTGTACTTTATAACCCAAATTGGTTAGAGGGGGTAGGGTAAAAAATACAGAAATAACTTAAAGAAAATAGAAAAAACCCAATAGATCACAAAATAAGGGGTAATTACCCAATATACACAAAATGTTATCTGTAGCCCTGTAACATAATATGTTATATCAAGAAAAACAAATATTATTACATGTAATATCATGTACAAATAACATAACATGTAACATCTGGGAAAAAAATATTATTACATGTAATATCTTGCACAAAAAACATTACTTGTAACATCTTGAAAAACAAATAACATAATATGTAATATCAAGAAAAACAAATATTAATACATGTAATATCATGTACAAACAAGAGCTGTCCGTAAGACAGCGCGCTCGACTTTTTTATTGCTTGCCAATAAAAAAAGTTTTTGCAGTAAAAGGCAATACAAGAATCTCTGTATTTTTAAAGTGAACAATGGCCATGAGCATTAAGATATTTAGTGAAGAATTATTTTACTGAATTGTGTGATACCCTTGAACACTGCAGCAAAGTTTGAAATGTTTAAGTCAAAAGAGGGCTGGTAAGAAAGAAAAAAAAACTGAGTTGAGCCTTAAATAAATTTAATTCTAAGTCGATAAAAGGCCTTAATTTTTAAAACAAATCCTTGACAGAGTTACCTTCTCTTGCGTACAGATGGGGGTAATGATGTGAAATAGCATTAAAAGTTTCAAAGCAATATCTCAAAGGGTTAAGGCAATAAGTGGATTTTACCCATATTCAATGTATTTTCTAAGTCAAAAAAGGGGCATAATTCTGTCAAAAACCTTGACAGAGTTATGTCCTCTTGTCTGTTGATGAAGGTCGTGATGGTAAACAAGTATGGTCAGTTTCAAAGCAATACCTCCAATGGTTTTGAAATAAAGTGAGGTGGTACAAAAAACTTAACCAAGCTCAATACACTTTCTAAGTCAAAAAAAAGGGCCATAATTCTGTCAAAACCTTGACAGAGTTATGTACTCTTGTCTGTAGATGGAGGTTATGATGGTGAACAAGTATGGTAAGTTTCAAAGCCATACTTGTAATACTTCTGAAATAAAGTGGGGTGGTACGAAAAACTTAACCAAGGTGTGACGCCAACGCCAACGCCGACGCCGACGCCGACGCCGGGGCGAGTAGGATAGCTTCCCTTTTCATAGAAAAGTCGAGCTAAAAAAATAACATGTAACATCTTGTAAAAATAACATTACATGTAATATGGTATCTTGTACAAATAAAATCTTCTAAAACTGAAAAGATATTCAAATAATTTATTAGTTTTTGTTTGCTTACAATGTTTTATCACAAATCTAAAGACCTCTGTCATTGAAAAAATGTCTGTCAGTGAAATACTGCTCTTTGGAATTATTAGGGAGTGTGCAGATAAAATGTTCTAACTGGTAACGTTATATCATGTGTGCATAAGATTACTGTATACAAAATTGAAAAATAGAATATGTTATTTACAATTGACATTTTACGTATATTTTTAAATAAACTACAAATACTGTAGATTTTTAAGGGAAAAGAAAAATGCATGCATCATGAAATAAACACTAGGCTGCCCACTGTGAAAATTTATTTTTCACTGCAGTGAAGCATATTTTCCATATTTTCACTAATGTCTTGCTGGACTACTTTCTTCTAAATTTAGCCAATACTCAAAATTAGAAGAACCATCAGGTTAAAAATAGAGTAAAATCATATAACAAGAGCTGTCGGTAGGACAGCACGCTCGACTATTCTAAGTGCTTGATAGTAAAAGAGCCTTTATAATGTTAAATTTTTTAAGTTCACAAAAGAGCTAATTTTTTTCATAAATTCATGTTATAGGCCTTAGAGAGAGTCTAATTATACAGTATTGGTTTGACTATTCTGAAGGAAATGTCACAAGGGTGTTTAATTGAGTAAAATAATACTAATTACCTATGAATACATAAATTTGACAGAAAAGGTACAAAGGCTTGTTATTAAGATGTTTTATCAAGTTAACCACTGCTTTATTATTATGAATGCATAAAATTGTCCCAAAAAGGTACAAACCCTTCAGTAGTTATTGAGACAACAGCTTACAAGCAAAACTTTACCATGAATTTTTAAGTTGAAAAAGGGGAGAAAAATCAGCCTAAATGCAAGATAGAATTATGGATCTTTGTCAGTGACCTACAATTATGACCCTAAATGCATATGTGAAGTTTTAAATAAATATCTTTAAAAGTTATTAAGATATGTAAAACTATCATGTTAACATTAACCAAGAGACTAAGTAGAAAAGGGGATGTGAATCAGCCTTAATGCAAGATAGAGTCATGGAACTTTGTCAGTGACATACAATTATGACCCTCCAATTATGACCCTAAGTGCATGTGTAAAGTTTCAAGTAAATATCTTTGAAGACCTTTAACCTTTAACCAAAATTTCTAAGTTTCAAAGGGGCAAATAATTCTGCAAATATTGCAGGCAGAGTTATGCAATTTTTGCAAACTGATATACATTGTTACTATAAAAGAGTATTTTAAATTTCAATTGAATATCTCAAGCAATAAATAAGATATTTGACTTTACAATAAAAACTTTAACCAAAATTTTTAAGTTCCAAAGGGGTATAATTCTGTCAATATTGTAGGCAGAGTTATCCAACTTGTCAATCTGATGTACCTTGTTACTATAAATAAGTATTGTAAGTTTCAATTGAACATCTCAAGCAATAATTGAGATATTTGACTTTACAAAAAACTTTAATCAACATTTCTAAGTTAAAAAGGGACATAATTCTGTCCATATTGTAGGCAGAGTTATCCAACTTGTCAATCTGATGTACCTTGTTACTATAAATAAGTATTGTAAGTTTCAATTGAATATCTCAAGCAGTAATTGAGATATTTGACTTTACAAAAAACTTTAACCAACGCAGACGCCGACGCGGACGCCGACGCGACTAGAATAGCTCTCATATTCTTCGAATAGTCGAGCTAAAAATATAAAACAGAAAATTGAAGTTTTTTCTATTAAAGACAATTGATTGTATAAGGGTTTTAAATATGAGAGAATTGTACCAAGTGAGTAAAGATTTCCAAAAAGATTTTAACAATGCACTTTCTAAGGTGTGCCTACTATTTTCAACAATGCAATTTTTTAGGGTGTGCTGCCTATTTTTGTTACATATGCACATTAATTCCATGGACCACAAATGGTTTCATGGAATGTGGGCAGCCTAAATATTGTATATGACAGGTAAAAAAAAAAAGAATGAAATGAATCAACATAAAAATTAATATATATGTTAGTACAATCACCTCTTCAGTCTAAAAATGCAAATAAACAATAAAAATCATTTTAAAACTAATGTCAAAATGATAACTGTCAAAACAACAAAATGTACAAGATCCTGTAAATCATAATTTCTTTAAAACATAACACCATGTTACTTGACTAAGTTGCAACAAGCGAGCTGTACAACAAAATCAGTAGGATTCACTATTCTAACTGCTTTATAATGTAGCAATAGAAGGTCTTTTGAAAAGTCAGGTGATATGAAAACTTTCGCTGATTTTATTTGTTTGTCTGGTTTCCGGCTGATTTTAACACGACTTGGGTCATATCTCGGAGGTTTGTCCACCTGGATAACTAACAAGTAATCAACAATTTCTCCTCATATGACTGACTACAGGTCCCAAATTATTTCTTAATCGGTGGTGAAAGACAAATGAATATTGGACTCGAAAGCTTTACTGAAATTCAATTTGAAAAAGGGGGAAAATGTAAAAGAAATCATAAAAAAAAATTTACCTGGCACAATATGATATTTTGCGAGCAGACGACAAGCAGATTACATTCAAACTTCCGGTTTATCTTGTCCTTGACCCTGTAGTGCATATCTGCAGCATCGTCTGAGTATAACTCGTACACTACAATCTTGTCTGGTAATTGTACCTACAGGCATAAACAAAATATACATCTAATACAGTATTTATAACCTTATCCATGCAGTTGGCAATTGTATCTACCCATGGGACCAGTGCAGACAAAGATCAGCTGGCACATCCATGAGTCTGATCCTGGTCTGCACTGTTCACTATTCAGTCAGTACACATTTTACAAATTCTTTATATAAATGGTGAACCATTTTGTCCAGATTGAAAAATGGACAAGTCCATTTAAAATATTTAGCCTAGTAAGGGTTGAAGAAAAATTCAACTATTTCAGTCAGTTGATGGTGTCACAAAATGAGATTGCTACAAAGTAAAGTGCTCAGAGATTGAAAAAAAAAGGCAATTGAAATCTTGTTAATAAGTTAATCTTATAATGCGATCATATTATTATTTTCTTTACATAATTATATTTGAGGCAAATAGATGTTATCCGGAACTCTGCAAATGTGGGTTTTTCCCACCTAATTCGTAGGTACAAACAAACATTTACCGTTATAGCTTCATGGTCACAATAGGTTTGTCAGCTTGTTACACTTATTTTCAAAGCTATAACTGTAAAAGTTTGTTTGTATCTACCAATTATCTGGGAAAAAACCCCAAATATTCTTAATTCCAGGGTAAGTCTATTTGGAAAGCACAAGATTCCAAAAGTATCTAAACAAAACCATTCTAGATATTCTTTTCCATGATTTAGTTATCTTGTAAAGCATTTCAGTGAAAGTTATCAAAATCATATAATAAGCATATAGATAGATAAACATGTTTTAAGAAGAAAAACGCTTTTAAACTGAATACTTACGGCTAATCTGTGCCTATAAATAGCTATTTTCTTCACTAGATCTCTACACTTGATTCTCACTGAAATAAAATCATAAACTCTTCTATATAATCAATGTAATCATTGTATGTATGAATGTAGATTTAACAAGAATGTCGAACGACACATATACCCCCCTTTCTAGCCATTGACTCACATAATATGCAATTTTATTAAAGAAACTTGCCAAAAATGGGTACATGGAAGTGTTCAATTATGGAAAAATCAACGGAAACCATTTTGACATTTAAGGCCCATGTGACATTGACCTTTGACCTAATGACCCCTAAAACAATAGAAGTCATCTAATACTTATGACCAATAACTAGGTGAAATATGAAGACTTTGTGATGAATACTTTTCAAGATAATCAGCGGAAACACTTTTGACATTTAAGGCCCCTGTGACCTTGACCTTTGACCTAGTGACCCCAAAATCAATAGGGGTCATCTACTAGTGATGACCAATCACTATGTGAAATATGAAGACTTTGTGATGAATACTTTTCAAGATAATCAGCGGAAACCATTTTCACATTTTAAGGTCCCTGTGACCTTGACCTTTGACCTAGTGACCCCAAAATCAATAGGGGTCATCTACTAGTGATGACCAATCACTATGTGAAATATGAAAACTTCGTGATACATACTTTTCAAGATAATCAGCGGAAACCATTTTGACATTTAAGGTCCCTGTGACCTTGACCTTTGACCTAGTGACCCCAAAATCAATAGGGGTCATCTACTAGTTATGACCAATCACTGTGTGAAATATGAAGACTTTGTGATACATACTTTTTAAGATAATCAGCGGAAACCATTTTGACATTTAAGGTCCCTGTGACCTTTGACCTAGTGACCCCAAAATCAATAGGGGTCATCTACTAGTTATGACCAATCACTATGTAAAATATGAAGACTTTGTGATAAATACTTTTCAAGATAATCAGCGGAAACCATGTGGTCTACCGACGGGCAGACCGACAGACTGACGGACGGACCGACAGACGGACGGACAGACATTAGCAAAACAATTTACCCCCTCTTCTTCGAAGGGGGGCATAATAAAGAAAAGGCCAACTTGATTACAATAGGTTTTCTTTTCTTAATATCTGTTTTCATATTTAAAGATTTTTAACCAATTTTGCAATTAATTTGAAAACATCGTCAAAATAAAAACTAAAACAACCCAAGTTCATATTCAGCGATTTCTTTGATCTCTTAATGTGATCGAAACTTTACTTTTAATACTTTCTACAATAGTGATTAAATATCAAATAAATAAAAAAGTTTTCAAAAATGTTATATTTTCAACAAATTAACTTTTCCCAACTTTTACTTGAATCCTTATCACAACCTAACTTTAACATATCACAACCTAACTTAAAACTTGAATTCTTATCACAACCTAACTTAAAACTTGAATTCTTATCATAACCTAACTTAAAACTTGAATTCTTATCACAACCTAACTTAAACTTGAATTCTTATCACAACCTAAATTTAACTTGAATTCTTATCAAAACCTAACTTTAACTTAAATTCTTATCACAACCTAACTTAAAACTTGAACTCTTGTCACAATAAATAAAAAACAAAGACAGTCAACATAAACAATAAAACATGAAATAAGTATAAAGTAAAACAGCAAATGTCAACATTAACACTGGTTTACATTTCTTATATGAAACAGTTTCAAGAGGAGCTTTAGTCTCTTCTCTTATAGCTTTAGCTGCAGCAACATTCACCTCCTCATCTTCTCCCGGGATAGGGTTTACTGAAACTTTGTTTATAAATCAGGGGCTAATTACTATACCTTCAAACAAGCACAAACTTGGTGTGGAGTTCTGTGCTTATATGGTGTGAAGTCAGTAAAGAAATTTTGGTATGGAACACATTTCAGCTTTAAGAAATATTCAACTGTTTTGACATGTTTCTTTAAAGAAATGACAGGTTATATGATAAATGGAAAAAAATCAAAGCACAGAAGGCGCTGAATTTGTTTGGGTCTCAGAATGTCAGAAAGGTGAAGGTTGTGAGATTATAAACCAATTTGTTTTTGTATAGTGCCACCAATGCTTTCCAGCGTTTTAATTATAGTAAATTGGCTATAAGACTAATTGCAATACTGATATTCAATTCAATGTTTGAAAAATGAGTTGCCTTAACTGGGATTTGAACTCCAGACCTCTCACTTCCTAAGCGAGCACGCAAACCCCTGAAGAAAACCATATTATTCAACAAGAACTGTCGGAGGACAGTAACGCTCGACTATTCGAAAATTTGTCACAAGGGTTTTTCATTGAGTATAATAATGCTTACCTATATGAATACATAAAATTGTCCGAAAAGGTACAAACTCTTCAAGTTTCAATACATTCCCTTCAGTTGTTATGGAGATACAAGCTTACATGCAAAAACTTAACCAAGAATTTCTAAGTCGAAAAAGGGGCATAATTATGCAAAAAAGCAAATCAGAGTTATGGGACTTGTGCCAATCAACTTAGATAATCACAGAGAACAAGTGTGTGAAGTTTCATTCAATTCCCTTCAGTAGTTATGGAGATACAAGCTTACATGCAAAAACTTAACCAAGAATTTCTAAGTCGAAAAAGGGGCATAATTATGTAAAAAAGCAAATCAGAGTTATGGGAACTTGTGCCAATCAACTTAGATAATCACAGAGAACAAGTGTGTGAAGTTTCATTCAATTCCCTTTCAGTAGTTATGGAGATACCAGCTTACATGCAAAAACTTAACCAAGAATTTCTAAGTCGAAAAAGGGGCATAATTATGTAAAAAAGCAAATCAGAGTTATGGGACTTGTGCCAATCATGCTTAGATAATCACAGAGAACAAGTGTGTGAAGTTTCAATCCATTCCCTTCAGTAGTTATGGAGATACCAGCTTACACGCAAAAACTTAACCAAGAAATTTCTAAGTCGAAAAAGGGGCACAATTATGTAAAAAAGCAAATCAGAGTTATGGGACTTGTGCTAATCATCTAATATAATCACAGAGAACAAGTGTGTGAAGTTTCAATCAATTCCCTTCAGTAGTTATGGAGATACCAGCTTACATACAAAAACTAAACCAAGAATTTCTAAGTCGAAAAAAGGGCACAATTATGTAAAAAACAAATCAGAGTTATGGGACTTGTGCTAATCATCTAATATAATCACAGAGAACAAGTGTGTGAAGTTTCAATCAATTCCCTTCAGTAGTTATGGGAGATACCAGCTTACATACAAAAACTAAACCAAGAATTTCTAAGTCGATAAAAAGGGGCACAATTATGAAAAAAAAGCAAACCAGAGTTATGGGGACTTGTGCCAATCATCTTAGATAATCACAGAGAACAAGTGTGTGAAGTTTCAATCCATTCCCTTCATAGTTATGGAGATACCAGCTTACATACAAAAACTTAACCAAGAATTTTCTAAGTTGAAAAAGGGGCATAATTATGAAAAAAAAGCAAATCAGAGTTATGGGACTTGTGCCAATCATCTTAGATAATCACAGAGAACAAGTGTGTGAAGTTTCAATCCATTCCCTTCAGTAGTTAAGGAGATACCAGCTTACATGCAAAAACTTAACCAAGAATTTCTAAGTCGAAAAAGGGGCATAATTATGAAAAAAAAAAGCAAATCAGAGTTATGGGACTTGTGCTAATCATCTTAGATAATCACAGAGAACAAGTGTGTGAAGTTTCAATCCATTCCCTTAAGTAGTTAAGGAGATACCAGCTTACATACAAAAACTTAACCAAGAATTTCTAAGTTGAAAAAGGGGCATAATTATGAAAAAAAGCAAATCAGAGTTATGGGACTTGTGCCAATTATCTTAGATAATCACAGAGAACAAGTGTGTGAAGTTTCAATCCATTCCCTTCAGTAGTTATAGAGATACCAGCTTGCATACAAAAACTTAACCACAGGGACGCCGACGCCGACAAATTGGTGACTGCATTAGCTCGATTATTCTGCAAATAGTCGAGCTAAAAATAGGGTTTGTAACAACGCTGCACAGATGTTAATAATCATGGAGCTTACTATAAGCATGTATATCTATAAAGAATAAAACAATATTATAAATCTTCGACCATTTGGGAACTATTTTGCTTGAAAATTAATGCGCCTGTCATTTGACCATCTTTACGCAGTGATGTCCCCTTAAGTTTTCGGCGTTAATGTACATATAAAGGGAAGTAACTGCTTCAAAAAAGCGGATTTCTTTCGGCATTTGCAATAAACAGCACCAGGGTCTGAAATTTCGCTACCATTATTTGTTTAGTCTGACATGTGTAAAGGTAATTTTTCAAGAAAACTTTAATTTCCCAAATGGCACATAATTTTTCCCAATTTAAGCCAGGGGGCTTTTTCCCAAAACATCTGCAATGACTATATTTACCTTTCTGGTCAGTTATAAGATGCTGTATAATGACATCAGTCATGTTGTCTCTGTATGCGTACCGGTCCTTGTATAGACCATGTACTGTGCTAAATATTAGCTGATAATACGCTATAGTTCCGTCCTGACAACCAATAGCCTGACCAAGAGAACAAAAAAACGACAAGATTTAGAAAGGATTCCTCAGAAATTGGTCATTTTTCTATACTGTATGAGAAGGAAAGCAATAACTATTTGAGCCACGTCACAACAAAACCAACATTATGCGCATCCGCGCAGTCTGATCAGGATCCATGCTGTTCGCTGTCAGTTTCTCTACTTGTTATATGGTTTGTCAGGGAACAGCGTGGATCCTGATCAGACTGCACAGATGCGCAGGCTGGTCTGGATCCATGCTGGTCGCAAACCCATTATGTTGGTTTTGTCGTGACGAGCTCATTTATGCTTTGCATTTGCATAAAAAATATTTGTTTTGATTGGGTTTCACGTCACACCGACAAAAGTATATGTCATTTGGCAATGTGTCAGCTTTACTATTGGGCACCTGAGTAGAACCACCAACATTCCGTAAGCTAGCTGAATAGCTTCCTCAAATGAAGAAATCCAAAGTTCCTGTTGGGATTCAAACCGACAGCAGTGAGGGTAAGTGGTTTGAAATCAACAACCTTAACCACTGAGAATTGTAAGACTTTTATACTTTTGTACATTTTCTAAAATGATGAGAAGTATTTTATTACTGAATATATCAAATATGATGAAAACAAGCGAAATTACAACTGAATAGGACATATCAAAATTCATAAATAGCACCGATTTAACTTACCACATAGTTAGAATCTGGTCTAACAGCAGCTGCCCACACCCAAGACTGCTGATCGCCAATAGTTCCTAGTTTTACACCTTCCTTTGTATGAAGATTACACTGTTTGTTGGACCCGCCTATTACAACATATTCCCCCTTGGAGAACCAGCGAACAAAACATGGGTCATGTCCTAGCTGTCTGTCTTTCCCAATCTAAAATTAGAGATTATAGAAGACCACAAATTATACAGTGCCTATATGACTTTCACCGACTTTCTGCAAACTGCATGAGGGTCACACCATACATAGCATGGTTTTTTTAGCATGTGACCCATACATAGCATGATTTTTTGGGAAAAGAATCAGTTTTTTTTAAAAGTGTAATTGTGCTGGAAATTTCTACTGTCCAAACATGCCGTTGCGGCGTGGCCAAGTGGTTAACGAGTCGGACTAGTAATCTAAGGATTGCTGACCCCCGTCAGGGGCAAGCTGTTGTTTCCTTGAGCAAGAAACTTTACATTTATTGCTTAGCACTGGTTGGTTCCAAGAACAGATTCAAGAGTGTTTTAATAAGCTTATAGCTTCCAACACAATCAAACTAAAATAAATTTGTATAAACTAAACAAAACTAATCTAAATGTAATTCTCTCATAATTAAAACTGGTTTTTGAAGGTTCAAACTTCTAAGGAGATTAATAAGTAAGACATCTGGTATATTTAACAGAAAAAGTATTAAACAAGTAATAATAAAAATACCTGTTTGCCAGAGAGCTGATAGAAAGATAACCTTTGACCCCAGTCAGCAACAGCCAGCACATCATACGCTTCATCCCTAGACGGGTTCCACTCCAGTGACCATATAGGTGATGACGTGGCTCCGGGTCTTTCTATCTTTACTTTCTCTTCTCCATTCTTGTAACATGAAATTATCATTTTAAATATAATGCAATAATTCTAATAGTCCTAAATTTCAATACAAAACAATATAACAAAAGCTTATTCACATTTATCATGCAAACTTAATTTAAGAAAATTTTCAAACAAAGTTTTCATTGAAATGTCTTTCTTCAGCCTTTAACCATGGGACTTTACTGCCACACATGACTTTGTCTCAATAATCAAAATAACAAGTATTTTTTTGTTTTCTTCTGCTCTGCTTTAATCTGTAAAAGAATATAATATCCTTGCTGGTACTTTTTCTTATAAGTCAGCTGCTTGTACTTTTTCTTATAAGTCAGTTGCCTGTCCTTTTTCTCATAAGTCACTTGCCTATACTTTTTCTGATACGTCACTTTGTTGTTGTTTTTCTAATAAGTTACTTGCCTATACTTTTTCTCATAAGTCACTTGCCTGTTCATTTTCTGATAAGTCACTTGCCTGTACTTTTTCCAGTAAGTCACCTGCCTATACTTTTTCTGATATGTCACTTGCCTGTACTTTTTCTAATAAGTTACTTGCCTATACTTTGTTTGTTTGATTGGGTTTTACGTCACACCGACACAGTATAGGTCATATTGCGACGTTCCAGCTTTACTGGTGGAGGAAGACCTAGGTGCCCTTCCGTGCATATTTCAGACAAAGGGGCACCTGAGTACAACCACCGACGTTCTGTAAGCTAGTTGGATAGCTTCCTCACATGAAAGAATCCAAAGTCCCTATGGGGATTCGAACCCACAGCGGCGAGAGGCAAGTGGTACTTGCCTATACTTTTTCTGATAAGTAACTTGTCTGTAATTTTCCTGACAAGTCCCCTGACTGTACTTTTTCTGATAAGTCACATGGGACAGATTATAAATGGACATAAAATTGTACATAACATATATATGTTTACCTTGTTTCTTATGCTGACAAGTCCATTGTAAAGTCCTAGGGCCAAATATTGTCCATCATTTGTCCAGCTGCAGGCAGTTACTCTACTGCTTACCTTGTGTTTTGACACCGATTTTTGTTCAGGAGACCAAAGACCTTAAAAATATTTAAACATATTTTGTTACACAAATGTACATTTATTTTACACATTTTTTTGTTAAATATACTATGTCCCAGTAAGTATTTATTAAAACACTGGAAAAGGTACATTGCATGATATGCTTTTTGTCTATTAAAACAACAATGTGCATGTATTATCATTAAACTTTGTGAGATAGGATTATGTGCATTTTATTTTTTGAGTATACATATACAGCAGAGAAGCAAAGGGGTTGTTCAGAAGACTATTTATCAACGGTAAAATGCTTTCCTAAAGTTGCCTCATTTTAAAACACTGGAATGTACTCTTACATGCAAAAGATAAAATAAAATAATATAAAATCTAGACAGCTAAACAATATATCACATGTTTTTTGGGGAATCACACATATAGATAAATAGTCATATTGTCAATTAAACATATTTTTCATTGATCACATTACTATTTCTATATAGTTACAGTTGAAGGTGTTCTTCCTTATAAATTAATTCAGCAAAATACATTTACTTTCTTCAACTAACTTAGTA